GAGCGAGCGAGCGAGCGAGCGAGCGAGAGAGAAGGATAAAAAAAAATACCACTAACGATAAGAGAAATCAACATTCATTTTAAGCATGACAGCTGTCCGTCTATTTGACTTGTGTGTTCGACGAAACAAAATGAAAAAAAACAAACAAACAAAGGAACTGAAAAACAAAACAAACGACAGTAATGAAAAAAAAAAGTAATAGAAACAGTACTACTACGGCTCACAACACGTTTGAAAACAAAACATTAAACAACAAAAAAAAAAAGTTCATCGCCTCGATGTTAAATGTAACACGTTTTACAAGGTAACAGAGCATTTCATTTTATAACATTTCTACTGTCTATACTTTTACCCGGACATTTTCACTGTGGACGAAAAAAAAAAAACAAAGTGAAGCGGTCCATGTGATTCCAAGAAAAAAAAAAGAAACCACCCCCCACACCTCCTCTTTCCGTCGATATAGCGAGAGTACGATGTGTACGTATAGCCGCGCACGTGGGGACACGTTTTTGCTACGAACGTTTCTTCCGATGTGGAGTTTTCATGTTTATAAATGACTTCATGCTCTTTTAACATCGTAAGGAAAAGGAAACTATGTATAATGGAACTAAACGGAAACAGCACAGTCTGTGTAATTGTAGTAATAGTCATATATATTTCTTTAAATTTTGCAAGATAATGAATGTGTTATGCTTTAAGACTATAAAATACAAATAAATTTTTTATTCTGTAAATTTACCTTTACAATATATACATATATGTGAGAAACACACGGAGACATTTGTTGTTGAAATTTTAACAAAATTTATGAAAGTATAATTAAAGGAATTTTTCGAGAACGCAATATTTAACGCAATAACGTGTCCCCAAAATAAGCCGTAGTTCTTTCTTTTTTCTTTTTTTTTTTTCTTCTATTTTCACCAATGGTGCAATAAAAAGGAGCAGTGCTTTTTCGACGTTCGCCTTCGATATTCTAAAAGAGAATTATCATTTTAGAGATCTTGTCGATACTATAGAGATCGTCTTTAAACGTCCGCGCGAATTGTTTTAGAGAAAGAACATTTTATATCTTCAAGAGGTGTACCATGGGAAAAGTATATGCATACTTACATGCATACAAACATATAGGAACTAAATGTTGATCTTAAAACGATTTTAATCGCTTCTGTTAGAAACAAGGAGATCTCAGAATCGAACTTGACGAAGATTATGATTAAATCAAAAGAGTAATATTATTTAAAATTTCGTGACGAATGCATATTTTTTGATCACGTTATTTATGTACAAGGTGATTCATAATTCGGGAATAGACTATAGCTATTTTCAAAGTGAAAGCGAAAAGTATAATAGAGGACAGAAGTATCTAACCTATTACAAACTTTCTTTCCCCAATCTGTTATAATTTCTCTTAGAGAACTTACTTTAATATTCATCTAGCTACTCTTTACTTTGTAAACTGTAGTCAATCCCGACTGTACGGATCACCCTATAGAATGAATAGAGTTCCCGGAAGAAAAAAAAAGCGCGAACTACGAAACATTATTTTCGATGTGATTGTAACGATCGAACAGTTCCCGCCATAAAGGTTCTATTTAAATCCAGTCTACCTTCTTCCCGGCACTCTGTCGTCATTTATTCTCTTTACAAGCGATCCTTTAGGGTATACCACTTACCTTATACACCAGGAGGTCCTGCATTCATATGTTGGCTTCGACAGGTAACGCAGAAACCCGGTGGCGTAAAGAATAAAACGGAAAAGCGACAAGCCGATCAGCGGCAACGCGAATCCTTGAAACGACGCAAATCCCTGCCACGTCAAGCAGAACCGTCTACCATCAATCCCGAAAAGTCCATGTCCGCTCCCGCCTCACAAGTCCCAACTACCACCGACATCCCGATGTCTTCTGGTTCCGCCGTAACAACGTCAAGCACGAGCAAAAGTACGATGTCCGAGGAGAACATTTCTAGCGATTCTACAGCGTCACAGGAAATTCAAGGGGTACCGCGCTTAGAAACGGTACAAGTTTAATTCTACGAGAGCTTTCTGCGCATGCGCGAGCCAAAGGCGCCAGAGAAGCAGCAAGAGGTGACACGATCCAGTTGAGAACGCACAGCCGGGATGTATTGTTTAGTTTGTTGTTTTGTGTTCCGTACTTCGTGTATCGCGAGTTTCGTACGTGATTTCGTTTCCCTGTAGATTTAAATCACATTCGAGTCTTGCGGGAATAGTTTGCTTATTGATTATCGAAGTGTTTAGATTAGTTTCAAATGAATGCGGGTTTCGAGTTAACCGAGGCGAGTGGTGCGCATGTACATGTATTTGAAGAGACTTCTGTTATTTCAAATGCAGTTTTCTCACGGTAAACTATCATCATCATCATCATTATTTTTATCATTTATTGTCAGATACTTTTACATGAAAATGTTATCGAGCGTTCTTTAGAGAGATTTTGCATAAATTTAGTGACATTACTTATAACGTCATAACGCATTAGCAACATAACGTTTGAATTTCGAACGCCATTTTCATGATAGAAAATTTGAAATTGCATTCGCAATATGAATTTATTGAAAAAAAAGTTTGTAATGATTGCGTTATTAAAAACCATTTCATAATTTTTAAATTATTAAAAATATAAATAAAAGTTACATTTATATACTTAGCAAAGGATTCGAAAAACGATATTTTTTTTTTTGCGATTTCATCTTGTTAGAAAAAATTATAGAACGCACCATTTTTTCCTCAATTTGAAAACGAAGAAACCCTAAATGAATGTTGTTAAGCGGAGAAATGTTCTTTTTTTCTAAGTTATTTTAGTAAAGATGGATCGGAATCGTTAAATACTTTGCTTGTCTTTGCATGAGATAGTAGCGGTAAGTTGTGTAATAAAAATGTCTGGTTAGCGGTTGGATTCGATCTTCAAGATTCGCGTATTACAATAAAAAAGAAATGAAAAATCGCAGAATAATAACCATCTCTATTGTATGCGAATAACAACTTAAGTTACTTATTATATTCTGTTCAGAACCATTAAATTTATATCATGCAGCTAAATAATAATTTAATAAAGGTACTTTCTTTTGATACTACAATTTTCAAATTTTAATTTTAATGATCTTTTATTATCATACATTTAAATACATAAATACATTTCTCTCGTTTTACATAATTTGTACATTAAACAAAATCTATATATTAATTTTAACATTTTAAATAAAAAAAATGTGAATTTTACTTATATGGAAATATTACCTAATGTCTGAATTTAAGAATTGTACTCCAAATAAGTTTAACCACTGAGAGAAATGTGACAACAATGTTATTGCAGTATCTTTCTCTTCAGTATAAATATGTTTCAGCATTTTTAATGTTGCACTTTTAGAATCATCTGTATGGTACATTGGTTCTATTCGTAATAAAATTACAAGAGATTGCAAATTTCTTGGGTAAAGATCCAAAATATCTTTACCCTGATTTTCACAATATTCCTTAATACGTTTTAATGTTGATTGTATAAATTTTATAACAGTAGGAGCATGATCTAATTCTACCTGTAATTCCTTCAAAAAACCACATACTAATAAAAAGATGTGTGAAGATTTACTGACAAACTCAAATAATTGATTTATTAAATTGATACTCTCTGAATTGTTCACATCATTATCTTTATTTAAATTACTACAAGATGATATGAAATCATCTAATAGTGGTTGCTCTATCAATTTGCACTTCTGTGACTGATATATTTTTTCTATGGTTGAAATCTCGAGATTTAAATTAGAGTTCCTTTGCACAGCATAACATAGCAAGTATTTACTTTGATCACAGGGTCCCAATTCCACAAGTTTCAGTAATACTTTCTCCACATAAGATTTACAATAAGAATTTGTAGGAGCTAAACACATTAAAGCACTGGTTAATGATAGCAAGCTATCAGTTGAGTCACAACTATCTAAGATATCATCTGTTAAATATTTTTCCAATAAAGTTTTTAGCAGTGTTGAAGTGTGCTTTTCATCTCTGAGTACTTCAAAATCTTGAAGGGCATCATTGATTCTACACCAATCTCTTAAAACATTCTAAAGGAAAAGTAGAGTATAAAGTAATAGAATTATTTTATCAATATTTCATATGCACAATACATACAATTACATGAAGCCGTACAGTATAACGTTGATATGCTTCTTTTGATACTTTATATGACAATAAGTTTGTCAAAGATGTACACAATGCATTTAATATATCATTAGATGTTGGTAAAAATTTATCTTCTTCCAATAACTTTTTATAATCCTTTGAGTTTTCAAGATCTTTTGTAACACTTTCACAGCTACATAATATTGATTTCAGGATCCTTTCATCCATTCCTAAAGAACATTAATTAAATATTATAAACAATGAGTAAAAATATTTTAATAAACATAAGAAGAAGTAATAATATTGAAAATATAAGTGTGAATATGTAAAAACCATAAACTTTTTAATGTCTTAAAAAAATTGTAAATACGCTTACTAAGGTTATATTATTATTTGATACATTTAAATATTGCTGCATTTCTTTGTGAACGTGATTGATTTTTTTATTATAAAACATTAAATACATGATAAGAATTAACACAGATACATTGCGTTTTATTTTCTTTACAATAAATATTTATGCTGCATAGTGTGACACAGTGATTATCTTGTAGAACTTTCTGAAGAGTCGTCAATAAT